CGACTCAGCAGAAGGGTCTTCCTGGCCTCTTCTGCAGCACTCAGCCCAGTCCTTCTGTCCTCTCTTCCCTCTAGCTGTGCCTCTATTGGTTCCCTGGTCCTCAAACGACACCTTTATTCAGTGTGGATCCCCTCTGGATTTGATTATCACGGTCCCAACTATTTTTCTGTGTCTCCGGTTCCCACAGGACATTGCTTCTCCCAGTCACGATGCCTTCCCAGAATTTCCCTGCGCTCTGCATCCATTCTGTAGCACTTTAAGTGGGGCCATCTTTCAGGTACAGAGCACTCATTTGTTCCTTTATGCTAGCTAGGATTCCTGGGCTCAGCCCCCAGCCACACATACCGTCTGTACTGCACTCAGATGACCGCCCAAGTGCCTCCTCGCTGTCCCCAAGGATTCTTTTGTCCATGAGCCCCCATCCACACCCATCTCCTCACAGTCACGCCACCTCCTGAGACCTTCCTCGATCTCCACAGCATCTTGTAACACTTTGCCTCCCTTTCTCTCTCTTATTCTGTCAGAACCTCCCATCTTGCTTTGCTACGCAGAGCTCCTTTATCCTTCTCTGCCATTGAGAGTATGTTCATTTGATTCCTCTCTCTTGTCGATCTGTAGCTTGCCCAGATGCCCTTGTTGTGTTTCCAAGCAGCCTCTTCTTACCGTGCTCCCTCATAATGGCTGTTTTCTCTATAGCAATGTTTTCCCAGTCCTTTCCCATATTCCACAGCATTCTTGCAGCACTTTAGCTCCTTTTAGATTTTAGGTTTTTGTGCTCTTCAGGGCACCCATACCTACTCTTTGCTGCTTAGGATGCCTTTGTTCTGCCCCCAGTGCCCTGACAAGATCTGTGCTTTGTTTAAATGCCCTTCAGAGTTCCACATCGTTATCTCTGTCGCTTCTTTGGTCTTTCACACCCCCCATGACTCCTCTGGTACCTTTGCCGAGCTTTCATGAGACATCCCCTACACACCTACACCCCATTTCAGCTGCAGAGAGCAATTTGCATTCCTCTTTTCCCATCAGAACCATTCCTTAGTCCGTATCTGCTACTTGGGTCGATCTTTCTGTCCTCTCATCCGTTTGGTACACCCGTATTCAGTTCCCCATTCCCTGAAGAAACATGTACTTTGCTCAATTATCTTCTGAGGTCATTGCATCCTTGAGACTCCTTTGGTCTTTCTGGCCCCTTTGGGACCTCTCTCATCTCTCTGACAAAGCCTCTTATTTTGTCAGATTTTTTTTCCAGAGCTACCTGTGTGCTCCAGTGCAGTCTATTTCAGTTCTGTCTTACCTCATTTCTTCATTTCAAATCGGGAACACAAAGATGTCTATCATTAGTTTAGATCTCCTCTTAGATAGCTTTCATGTATTGTTATTGACAGATCTCTAACCAGGATTTTTGTTCTCCATTACAATTTATTTTCATTTCAGCTACTTAGATGGTACTTCATCTACTCTTCATACAGTTTCCGATACATTTCTGGTATTTCTACGTTTTTTGGGACTCTTCTAGTTCTGTTAAGAAAACCAGTCAAAGGGAAATTATTGAGGTGATCATTTGATAATAACAATCATTACATTTAATAAACTACCATATATATAGCTTAATATGGTATCTCTTTCTATCTGCACCCTAGAAAGATTACATTTCGTTACCTACCCGATCACGTTGCTGCAGTCACAGAGCAGGTACTGTTATCTCCATTAAGGACTAGCTCCTCTATTTCAAGCTCCACAGGCTGTAAAGGAACAGCAGGAGAGAAACAGCTGCAGCTCCTCCGGCCGCCTTTATGCCTTCTGGGGAGTTGGCCCTGCCCTGCCCCAGGGGATTGCAGGGAGGGCGGCAGGCAGGGCCCGGGGTATATAAGCCACAGCCCCTGGGGAAGGAGCTCATTCTGCTCTGGGGCTTTTCTGGAGTCAGAGCTCTGCTGGGCCCTCAATGACCTGCAGCTTTGGGGGGACTCAGCTGTGGGAGCAGGGGTGAGAAGTCTGAGTTAAAACCTTCAGCACCAGGTAAGGTTTAGTGGTATGTATAGCAGAAAGTAGACTTTTATGCAGCGTTCTGTTTTGTTTTTTTCACCGAAGGTCAATATTTTTCTAATGAGTGTTCAGGGTTCATTAGTATGCTTTCATTTATTCCAGGTGCAGTGTATTTCCTTGGAATTTCTGACTTTATTAAGGGTGGAATTTTGTTTTTTCCCCCTCTGTTGTGTCCTGTGTAAATTGCTTGACAATGCTTTTCTTAAAAAGACAAATACTGAGATAATCTAGCGGGGGTGAGGTTGAGCATCTTGTATGGATCTGTATATGCAGTTTTAGCATTTCTGAAGAAAGCAGCAGGGATGTAAGGGATAGTGTCTTTTGGGGTATGAAATAGTTCATTACCTTTCCCAATTGCCCACAGAGTACCCTGGTGTCCCTCAAGCTTTAGCAGGTTGTGGCATCCCCCCTGTAGGTTGTGTGAGGGCATCACTTATTTTGTGGGTCTGTACCAGAGTCCATGGAACAGTAGAACATGGGAGGTGCTCACAGAGCACAGGACACAGCTCAGAAGAGTAGCTGCCAAGGAGCAGCCAACGCAGGGAGTTCAGAGCTGGAAATAAAGAACAGGAGCTGTCAGGAAGAAGTGGGCTTATTTCCTTGAGAGCTAGGGAGAAGAGAAGGGGTTTCTAAAGCTTTGGGACTGGGGGATGGCTAGGAAAGGGAGGCAGGTTCATTGCGCTTCATCATATTGGCTTTGTATTTCAGTTTGGGTGTCAATGAGGTCTGGTGTGTCCTAATTTATTACCTTTGAGATGAGTCAGGAAGTATTGAAGAGGTGCACAGCACCAGTGATTGTTCAAAAGCAGAATGGTAATTTTGTATTTCTGTTCTTTTTAGGTGCCATAATTAATTGTTGCTGCAGCCTCCAATTCTTGGATTGGTGTGGAGCAGGTGAGAGGAACGCCCCGGAGCTTCTCTGGATGAGGGTGTCATGGAAGAGGTTGGCATTTACAG